CATTTCGGCTGCCCCCCCGCCCACACTGGACATCACGCCCCCAGGATGTGCATCACACCCCTGTGGGCAGCGTGCCCCGCCCCCAGGACGCGTGCCATGCCCCTGCCTGTGGCACGCCCCGCCCCGGGACACGCCCCAGCCTGGTCCCTGCCTGCTCTCCATGCCCCCCCATGCCAGAGCATGAAGCTCCGCCACTGCATGGTCCATGCTATCAAAGATCCAGCAGAACTAGGAAACAGCTCTCACCTTTGTCCCTAGCTCACCAGAGATCATCAACCAGTGCAACCAAGGCATTTCAGTCTCAGCAATTGTTTCATCGCCCTCAGAACTGGGGAAACCATGGGCTGTCCGGGCTCCATCCAATCGGAGAGGGCGCTTTGGAGCCAGACAGTCAATACCCCTAGTTAACTCTACATTCCAGCGGGACATCAGGGAATGAGCTGAAAGGCCATCAACGTGGGATAAAACATCCCCTATCACTCTCTGGAAACCATTTGGAGCCATTACGTGGGGGGGTGGACCATCCTAATTGACCCCACCTCCCTGCAGAGGGGAAGGGTCGCGGAGAAGTCCAGTTGCACCAGGAAGTGATCTGACCATAGCACTTCTTTTGTTTCACTTTTACTTAGTGTCAGATCAGCAATATCCATAGAGGTGAACACCAGGTCTAAGGCATGTCTGTGACTATGAGTTTGACCAAACTTATTCAGGGACAGCCCCATGGAGGCCATGCTTTCCACAAAGTAATACTGAGTAATACTTTCTTAAGGTACAGGTAAAGGACCCCTGACCATTAGGGTCCAGTCGTGGCCGACTCTGGGGCTGCGGCGCTCATCTCGCTTTATTGGCCGAGAGAGCCAGCGCTCAGCTTCTGGGTCATGTGGCCAGCATGACTAAGCCGCTTCTGGCGAACCCGAGCAGTGCACAGAAACGCCGTGGACCTGCCCGCCAGAGCGGTACCTATTTATCTGCTTGCACTTTGATTTGCTTGTATAAGACAAAAAGAAATCTGTGCTGGAGGTGTGGTAAAACAGGAGGGACACTTATAGATGTTTGGTGGACCTGTAGAAAAATCAAAAGCTTTTGGAACACAGTGTATGACGAACCTTAAAAAATGTTTAAATATAACTTTATGAAAAATACAGACGCTTTTCTACTAGGGATAACAGACGCAGGTATAGCAAGAGAAGATCAGAAAACACTCCTCTATGCCACAGGAGCGGCAAGGATCCTAATTGCCCAAAACTGGAAAAAGAAACTGTGCCAACAAAAAGGAGTGGCAAGACAAACTGTTAGAGTATATTGAACTGGCTAGATTAATAGAGGCAATTAGAGATCACACTAGACAAGAGTTTCAAAAGCATGGGGAAATGCAGGGAATGCTTCACAAAACTGTGCTCTAAAAATACATACCTTGACTTGTTTTGATTAATGTCTGCAGGAGACTTTGTGAATATTTAAGTTATAATTAGAAAAATCTTAATAATTATTCATAAAGGAAACAATTTATAAGAAGTAAATAAGGAGGCCAGATACAGAATAAAGGAAGTCTTTTATTTGGTTGTTTGTATTGTATGTTATGTCTCATGTTTAATGAGGGTGGATTTGTGTATGTGGGGTTGTGTTATGCTGTAAATAAAACACACACACATATATGTATATATATATGAACAAATAATATTCATTGCTGACAAATCATACCATCGTCAGCCTCATTAATCTCAACCCCAACAAACCTTGCACTTAGCGTGAGCAGCTGCTTTCTTCCCATTTCTTAGGTGGAAAGAACTAATAATGAAAAGGAAGACGGGACATAGACCCTTTCCCACAACCTTTGGAGGTCTGGGGGCTTCATTTCACCCCCTTGGTCCTGCTCCTGCAAGCTTGGCAGATGTGGAGTATTTGCTCACACTCTGCCATGTCTTAAAAGCAACCTTTTTATTTTATTTTTTAAAAAATGGTATTACAGTGCTAAAAAGGCTCAAGAAAGCAATTCCTGTAGTAGTTGGCAACTCTATTATTATTATTATTATTATTATTATTATTAAATTTTATTTAACATAATTATTACAAAATATAAACAAAATACTGCAAATATTTCAGATAAGCACAGATATATAAAAAAGAACAAAAAAAGAAAAAAGGAAGAAAAGAAAAAGAACAAGGACAAAGAAGAAAAATTGGAAGAATTTCTTCCAAGTTTATTCTACAAATATCTCAATAATAAAATTTCATTGATTGACTTCCATCGCTTACACTGCACTTCCTACATACATTTTAAGCAAAATTGTATCTGTTATTCCGTATTTTTTCCATACAATCTCATACAAATATTCTAATCAATAAGTTTTCTAAATCTTTCATAAATCTATTCTAAACACAACCAATGATATTGCAGTGCTAAAAAGGCTCAATAAAGTAACTCCTGTAGTAGTTGGCATCTTAGCAACCCCAATGCCACTCTGTCAACTGTCTCACTCCCAGCCAACTTATCTGGAAAGCTGTCCTGTCATCTCTGCAATGACTTCAGTGTCCCTTGAATTAGCAATTCAGCATTTCTGCAAGGGGAAATGATATACTTTTGTATATTAGCATAAAAAGCATGCATAAGAAAGTATTGGGACGCAGGTGGCGCTGTGGGTTAAACCACAGAGCCTAGGACCTGCCAATCTGAAGGTCGGCGGTTCGAATCCCTGCGACGGGGTGAGCTCCCGTTGCTCGGTCCCTGCTCCTGCCAACCTAGCAGTTCTAAAGCATGTCAAAGTGCAAGTAAATAAATAGGTACCGCTCCGGCGGGAAGGTAAACGGCGCTTCCGTGCGCTGCTCTGGTTTGCCAGAAGCGGCTTAGTCATGTTGGCCACATGACCCAGAAGCTGTACGCCAGCTCCCTCGGCCAATAAAGTGAGATGAGCGCCGCAACCCCAGAGTCTGTTAATGCTGTTAATGGTTTTCCCAATATATAAAGCCCACTTGATCATTACCTCCTTAACCTGTTCATCTTTGACCTCCCACTCCAATAATGTATCATACATTTTTTATATTACCTTGGTTTGGTTTGGTAATAACTCTTTTCTAATAATGAAGGTTCGTTTGAGAAACCATTTTTCTTATCTGTCCTGAACACAATTGATGGTATTGGATCCAACTCATAAGGTGTTTCCTCATAATCTTTAATTACCAATTTATTGTCTTTCCCCCTAATTAGATCTTAATATGTGGCCCATTCTAATTCCATATTTTCTTTTTTATTGTAATTGCTTCTAGAGGTGATGCCCACCATGGTGTTTTCGGTTCTAGGAGATCCTTCTATTTTGTCCATGTTTTATATAATGGTTTCCTTATGACATGATTCGTAAATCCCTGTGTAATTTCCCTTTTTCATAAGCTAAATACGCATGCCAAACATAACAATTATTAAACCCTTCTAAATCACCATCTTTTAATACAATCCACTATTTTAGCCAATTTAAACAGACAGCATCGTAATATGAATTTAGGTCAGGTAGCACCAGTCCACCTCTATGTTTTTTACCTGTTATAAATTTGTGTTTAATTCTTGGTTTTTTTATACTGCCATTGTGATGGCCTGGGACTTGGGCTCGGACTTGGAACCAGAGGAGACTCAGTCTGCACCCGATCCTTTGCCTCCAGGCATCATCTGAACCAAGTCTGGGGCCTGATCCTGAAAAGTCCCAGTCTGCACAGGTTCTCCTGCAACAAACACCAGCCGGGCAGTCAGGAGCCTGAGCCTGCCCTGGCTCCAGATGCGGGAATGACCTCATTGCCTTCAGCTGGGCCATCACTTACAGCTGCTCCACTACCGGTTTGGTCAGGGGAGGCTGAGGTGGCCCCTGGGCCTAGTAACCCACTGACATCTCCCGAGCTGCAGAGACTAAGGTCTGAGATAAGGAGCGACCTGAGCACTCACAGGAGAAGTACTCACCTTCGGGCGGAACAGGGAGCGGGGGATCAGGACCGGCCGCTACCCTGACGGAGAGTTCCAGAAAGCAATCAGTTGCAGGCAGGATGGACGAAGCAGGAACAAGACGCTGCTACTAGTAACTTGGTTACTTAGAGGTGTTTATTATTTACAGCAGACTTTACAAGTTACTATATACAAGAACAGATGCGGATCTTAACTAGCTCTCTTAACAAACTCCAAATGACTCTCAGAACACCACACCAACCAACACACACTCCAGTCAGTAAGGTCATAAGTCATCATGCCTGTGTGAACTCTCAACCAATGGTAAAGCTGTATCCAAGGTTTCATATCTCCAGGCAGAATTACTCCCCTCTGCTCAGTCTCCTTGGCCTTCAGCCAACTCTTAATTGACTCTGTGTGAAGCTGCACAGAATGGCACGTAGTCAAAAATACCAACAGCAGTCCCCTGATTAACAAAGTTTCTAACTCCATCCAAAAAAAGAAAAGAAAGAGAGATTTCTCTGGCTTTACTTGTTTTTGAGAAAGCCATGCTTTCATCCTGTATGTTTATGTTGTGGACCACCTTGAAATCCTCAGATGATGGGCACATAATTTTTAAAAATGATAATAAGAAGGATATTGGCAAGCTGGAACATGTGCAAATGAAGGCGACCAAGATGGTCTTATTTTATTTATGCATTTAATTAATTTCTATACCACCCTATACCAGGGGTGCCAACTTGAATAAAATATAGAAGGGGTTTAGTAAGCCTCTCCTCGCATAATAAATCACATGATGTGATGCATGCATGTCATTTGAATGGCAATGCCTATCAACTGGGGGTGCCCTCAAATATTTTATTGGGGGGCAAAGACCCATCGGCCTTTAAGAGTTGGCGCCTATTCCCTACACCTACAGGTCTCAGGACGGTTACAACATAAAAACACAAGATACACATCTGTAACCCCGCTCCCCACCAAATTTTAAAAGGCATTAGATGTCAATCAGCCAAAGGTCTGGTTAAAAAGGTGCCTATTTGACAGACTCCTAAAGCTGTATAATAGTTTTTCTGACCTCTGTATGAATTCTTTGATGGGAAGTGAGATCGGAGCTCTTCCTGAAGCTCTTTCCACATTCCAGGCACTGCTAGGGTTTCTCCCCTGTATGAATTCTTTGATGGATAGTGAGACTGGAGCTGGTACTGAAGCTCTTTCCACATTCCACACACTGATAGGGTTTCTCCCTATGAATTCTTTGATGGAAAGTGAGATTGGAGCTCTTCCTGAAGCTCTTTCCACATTCCAGGCACTGATAGGGTTTCTCCCTGTATGAATTCTTTGATGGGATGTGAGATCGGTGCTCCAACTGAAGCTCTTCCCACATTCCAGGCACTGATAGGGTTTCTCCCCTGTATGAATTCTCTGATGGGAAGTGAGATCGGAGCTCCTCCTGAAGCTTTTTGCACATTCCATGCACTGATAGGGTTTCTCCCCTGTATGAATTCTCTGATGGGAAGTGAGATTGGAGCTCTTACTGAAGCTCTTTCCACATTCTGCACACTGATTGAGTATTTGCCCTGTATGAATTCTTCGATGGGAAGTGAGATCGGTTCTCCTACTGAAGCTCTTTCCACATTCCACACACTGATAGGGTTTCTCTCCTGTATGAGTTCTCTGATGGGAAGTGAGATTGGAGCCCCAACTGAAGCTCTTTCCACATTCCACACACTGATAGGGTTTCTCTCCTGTATGAATTCTCTGATGGGAAGTGAGTTTGTAGCTTTCAGTGAAGCTCTTTCCACATTCCAAACACTGATAGGGTTTTTCCCCTGTATGAATTCTCTGATGCTTAGTGAGATTGGAGCTCTTACTGAAGCTCTTTCCACATTCCACACACTGATAGGGCTTCTCCCCTGTATGAATTCTTTTGATGGGAACTCAAAGAGAAGCTGTTCCTGAAGCTCTTTCCACACTCCATGGACTGATAGGGGTTCTTTCCAATGAGATTTTGTTGATAGGAAGTGGAATGGGAGCTCTGACTGCAGCTCTCCCCACGCTCCAAATTTTTACATGGCTTCTCCTCGAGGATTTTGTTGTGGTCACCCTTGTTCTCGATTTCCAATTCATCACAATCTGCAATGCAGACAAAAATGGGTTTGAGCCTCAGGAACAAATGGAAAAGAACTGAAGGGAATTGGGGGGGGATGTTCATTACTTTTGTTGTTTGTCATTAACCAATATATTCATTAGTAGACTCTGATGGGTTGTTGAATGTTGCTTGGTTTGATATACATTAGTGGTCTAAAATGTCGAAGCCTTTTGGGAAAAAAAGTTTTTTTCAGAGGTTTGATGGCTTATAACATCACTTCTTTTGGAGTAATATCATAAAATCATGTATCAAGGGAAAGATAATTCAATCAAGAATGTAATGCAACTACGTTTGTTCAATTATCTGTATTCTATCAAAACCTATAGCCAAATAACTAGAAAAAGGAAGTACAACTTTCTTTGGTTAACGTTTCTCAGCGTGTTATGTGATTGCTATCATTGATTGGTTTTTTGTGTTTTTTCATTTAGTGAGTTTCTATAGTATAATAAAATTAAAGAAATGGCACAAAGAGTTGACTGTTCACGCAGAAAGCGATGTAAAATAGCCAATGTGGTGTAGTGGTTAAGAGCGGTGGACTCGTAATCTGGTGAACCGGGTTCACTTCCCCGCTTCTCCGCCTGCAGCTGCTGGGTGACTTTGGGCTAGTCACACTTCTCTGAAGTCTCTCAGCCCCACTCACCACACAGAGTGTTTGTTGTGGGGGAGGAAGGGAAAGGAGAATGTTAGCCGCTTTGAGACGCCTTAGGGTAGTAATAAAGTGGATATCAAATCCAAACTCCTCTTCTTCTTCTTCTTCTTCTTCTTCTTCTTCTTCTATTAAGTGAACAAGGCTACACTTATGAAGAAATTAGAAGAAAGATTTTGGGAAACATAAGCAAAGCTGGCATTCCTATATTTTTGAAGAGGTATAAGGAGACTTAGTCACTGCAGAATCAGGCTGGTAAAGGCAAGAAAAGGTGCACAACAGCAAGTGATGATCGAAGAATGAAGAGACTGTGCCTACGTGACAGAAGAAAATCATCTGGGTGTATACAAGATGACATGACGCAATGTAATGTGAAGCTGAGTGCAAGGACTGGTCTAAATGCTAGAATTCTAAGGGAAAAGCCATTGTTATCTCTCAAGCAAAGGTTGAAAAGATTAAACTGGGCTACAACCCATGTTAACTGGACAGCGGAAGAATGGGACAGTAGTTATTTGGAGCAATGAGACCCAAATCTCCTTGCTTGGTAGTGAGGGCATGGAAAACGTGAGGAGAAGAATCAGAGAAGATTTATATCCTACAGTGGAAACTCGGGTTATGTACCGTCCTCCTTACGAACGCTTCGCAACGAGCCCGCTAACCTGGAAGTAGGTCTCCTGGTAGCGAACTTTGCCCCGGGATTCGAGCGAAAGCGCGTCTCAGGATAAAAACGGATTTGGGTTAAGAATGCACCTCCGGAACGGATTAAGTTCTTAACCCAAGGTACCACTGTATTTCTAAATAAACCTCAACTAGTAAAACTGCCAGCGTTCCATGTCTTGTGTGAGAGAAGTGCTAAATCTGACAATATACCACTGGTCCTGGAAGACCTACATTGGCTCCCAGGACATTTCCAAGCACAATTTATAGTGTTGGTGCTGACCTTTAAAGCCCTAAACAGCCTTGGTCCAGTATACCTGAAGGAGCCTGAATACTGTGGTCCAGCTACGAGGGCCTCCTGGCAGTTCCCTCACTCCAAGAAGCCAAGTTACAGGGAACCAGACAGAGGGCCTTCTCGGTAGTGGAACCCACCCCATTGATTTCCTCCAATCAGATGTTGAAGGAATGGGTTTCCAAACCTAAAAGCTGACTGGGCAGTTAGTCTGAAACGGGCCCCAAAATCCGCATTTTTCCTTCTCCAAGGGAGCATTTCTAAAATGCTTTAACTTGAGCTGTTGAGCAAATGCATAACAGGAACCCAGCTGTATAAACAAAGCACTCTCCCTTATTAGTCCATGAAGGCTGGTAATGACGGATGGCCTTGTCAGTTCCGAGTGGAGCAGGGATGGCACATCGGGGTCTTATCTTACATCCTGACCACACTCTGACGCACAGACCTAGTCCGGGAACGGCTCCAGGAGTGCACTTAGAGTTGGTGACCTACTTACCCCAAGATAAGGAGTACAGGAACAGGAACACCCTTTTATGGTTAAGAGTACAGGAGCAGGAACATCTGTGATGTCAATGTGCGTGTATAAGCTGACGTGGCTGGATTCCTGGGGAAGGGGGGAGAGGGTGCCTGGAGGATATATATACTGCATGTATCTCTCATTTCTTTGGACTTGCTGTGAACTGACCACGCAAGTGCCTTCTGCTATCCAGAGAGCAGAATAAACTCTTTCTCTGACTCAACCTCGGTGTCATTTGACTTCCTTTCTCCCTCCCGGGAGCAACGCAGACCCCACCACTTTAGACTGGTAAAGTCGAAGAAAGCTACAATGTCAAGGAAATAAACAGCTATCACACTTTTAGAAGACATCTGAAGGCAGCCCTGTTTAGGGAAGCTTTTGATATTTGATGGATTATTGTATTTTAATATTTTTGTTGGAAGCAAACCAGAGTGGTTGGGGATACCCAGCCAGATGGGCTGGGTATAAATAAACTATCATCATCATCATCATCTTAAACAGAGGTACCACTGTACATGTATTACACCTACTGTGAAACACCCAGTTAGTGTTATGATCTGGGGTTGTATGGCAACCCAGCAATTAATATAAATAATTCAATCTTGGTTTCACATTATTACAGCTGCAGAAATAAAAAAAACTTGGTTCACTCCATGGGAAGACGTTGCAAGGTTGTAATTGAAGTTACCAAACCAAGTATTAGTTGACATGGTGAGAATTTCTGCACATCTCCTTTTTTCTATGTGTTTCGCATTTCTTCTTTATGACTGATGTTCTAATAAATACTCCTTCATAAATGTTATTGCATTACATTCTTCATTAAATAATCTTTCCATTGATATAGAAATTTATGGTATTATTCCCTAAAAGTGGTGTTATGAGCCATCAAACCTCAGAAATACACTTTTCCCAATAGGCTTCCACAATTTTGGCCACTAGTATAAGTTGTTCATTTTAAAGTTAATGTACTTTTTATATGGGATCAGATGGTTATTATTAATGTTTCATGTTTATATGTGTTGGAAGCTACCCAGAGTGGCTGGGGCAACCCAGTCAGATGGGCAGGGGATAAATTATTATTATTATTACTACTACTACTACTACTACTGCTAGTACTACCTGAGATTCATTCAGCCTGGCTCTTTTGTTTGGCCCAGTCATGGCATCCCCTCCATCGCCAATGTGAGGCGTCTCTCTGGTCAACCCAAGACTGACAGCAGCAAAAACGAAAACAGAAAACCTGACAGAAGCTACTTATCTTTCCTAACAATTCTGAAGCTGACAGTTAAGATGCCTGGGCAGTTCAGACCAGCCCAACTGTGGTAGAAGGAGGCAGAACTGGAGGAAGATTGTTCACAGAAAAAACTGTAGTTTACTATTTCTTGTGGGGGTGTTAGGTTCCCAGGTGTTGTAGGGGGCGCTGTGAAAATATATGAGGTTTGTCACATAGAGGTATTTTTTGAATTTCCTGGCAGATAGGACGATCCCACACGGAGGCTTACCAAGAGAGGCCACGATCCCCCAATTCTCCTCCATTACGTCCTTATGCAGAGCTCTTTGGTCAGGATCCAGCAACGCCCACTCCTCATCCGTGAAACGAACAGCGACATCTTCAAAGCACACTGGACCCTAAAAGAAAAAGGGAAATGTCCTCCTCTGAGATAGCAGAAATATGATCTGCTACACAATGCTCTGTTGTTTCCTTCCTGTTAATTGCTGTGTTATTTCAATAGGATTGCTTTGCTGCACATTTTAATTCTGGATACCTATTTTAACGCTTTAATTGAATTCTTTTTATTCTGCATTTTAACTGTGGGTATTCGTCTTTTTGCAAATAGGTGGTACTCCAGCTTATGTTTACGTTATTCTGCCTACGCAAGCATCCCAGTTTCCCCGATGGAAGGATCCACTTCCTCCTCTCCTCGTGAGTTGTTCTGGGGAGGTTCCCTCACAATGCCCTAGAGCCAAATTCAAGGGGTTCATGGCTGCTATTTGTTCTCATTTGTCCACTGCTTAGAAGCCTATTCAGTGATCAATATAGAAATAAAAGAAGCCTAGTCTGGATGGCCATCTGTCTTGGATGATCTAGCTGAGACTCCTGCAATGCAGGGGGTTGGACTTGATGACCCTTGGGGTCCCTTTCAACTCTAGGATTCCATGAAAACAACAACTACAGATGAATCCTGCTGGCGACATTCTGTTGTTGTTTTTTAAATGATATTTATTGAGAGTTTAAAATTACAGAAAAAAGTGAGGGGGAAAAAGAGAGAAAAGAAATTAAACAATACAAGTCAATACATATAAAAAAGAAAAAAAATAACAAAACACACAATACATCAAAACCAAAAACAAAAGCAAAAAAATTAAAAACAGATCCAATATTTCCATACCTTTATCTTTCATTAACTTGTTTCATCGACCTCCTCACACCTCCCTTTTTTTGTATTCTAGTTATTAATTATTTCAGCAGATCCTTTCTATCTTTCACTATTTTCTGTCATTTAATTGTCTTAATTTATTTTAACCTTATCTTACCATAAAAACCCTAAAACTTAAAACTTATTTGTACATAACTCCTTATAACATTTCTACTAAAGCCATATAGTTTCATTCCAACATTTTTCTAACACTCATTAATTTTACAATATTTCTCTAAATAGATT